AAGGCCCCAAGAGGCAACAGTCATTGATTTTCTGTTGGTTTTTGGTGAATTTTGGGGTTCTCCTCTTTTCGACTCCCCGACGCTCCAAGACGGCGGTCTTCTGGGCGTCCGAAGCCGCCTGGGAGGCTCCCAAATTGAGCCACAACCATCCGAAGGGGCTTCCAGGCAGTCCAAGAGAGCCCCAAAACGGCACAACAAGGGTCCAAGATGGCCCTCATAGAGCCCCATGGCGGCCCAAGATGGCCCCAAGACACCCTCCGAAGCATTCCAAATCGTGACCCGGTTGTTCAGGGAGACCGCGGTTGGAGGCCGGGTGGCCCGAGGAAGCCCCCAGAGTACGCCCAGGAGGCCTCCAGAAGGCCTGAGGAAGCCTGACACAACTTTTGTGAGGCCCCCAGAGGCTTTCCAAGGAAGAGCCTCCGCAAAAAAGAGCTGAAGAGGATGGGGAGAATGCGCAGGGTATGGCGAGAATGATGAAAAAGAAGCATAGAGGAAGGAAACACACATAACATTACTATAGCGATGATGCCAGAAAAGGCAACAAGGAGTTATGGCTAAATTGTCGGCTTAACCTTCCTGCTATTCCGCCTGCATACACCAAGTTTGAAGGACCAAGGCGCATGGCGCAAAGCGCCACTGCAGTCTTGTATATATAGATATAGATAGAGATGGGCAGGAGTAGTTCTAGGAGAAGAGGCCGAAGGGAATGATGAGTTGGAGGCAGAGGAGCATGAGATGGAAGATGAAGGGAAGTAGGGTGAGTTGTGGGCTGTGGAGAGGGATGGGGAGTTCACAGCATATGATAATAGCTTCGGTTTGCTCCCCTTTTCATTGCATGACGAGGGTTGCCGCACTACAGTACAATGGGTCGGTTCGGATGGTAATTCATGTTTCTTCGCGGTGCAATGGGGCCGCATGATCATCGCAGCGATGCCAGCTGGGCGGACGATGTCGGTGTGAAGGAATGCCGCGAATGATGATGGTGATGACGAACGAGCTGGAGGAGGCCTCGCGGCCTCCTGCGAATGCGGTTGCGAACGTCACGATTCATTCTGTGGCCGCTGTCCTCGGAGGACGACGGACATCTCCACCTGCCGCCTTGCTTCCCTCTTTCGGGGAGACGTAAGACTCGAGTGAGCCGGAACTCGGTTTTGCCGATTTTTTTTGACGAGCGCGCCCTGGATTTTGACGGTCCCGTTTTCGTGGGATGTCTGCAGCGGGAGCCCGCGTCACATTTCAGATTGGGTCTCGTCATTTTTATGATGGCGCCCTTCAGGCCCACCCGAGTCCCCCGTACCCGAGTCTTACGTCTCCCCGACCCTTCCTCGTCTCCTGCTCGAGATCTCCGCACCCTGTGCGTCCCGATGGGCAGATCGGTGCAGCAGCTGCAGGCCTGCAGGGCGGCTCCCGTTCCTGCATCGGCCTCTCGCCCGAGACCGCCCGCCTCGCGCAGCAGCTGCAGGGCTGGAGGGCGCTTCCTTGCCAGCACCCGGCTCACTCTTGAGACTTCTCCGCTCGCTGCGACCCGCCGCAGGGAGGGACGGCCGCGCCTTGCTCCAACCCCGCCCCCCCGCGGGGGCCCGCAAAAATATGCACGACCACCACGTCAATTCCTCCTCTCTCCTTCTTCCGGCGAGAGGGAGGGGGGAGGGAGGTGGTGGTGGTGGTGGTGGTGTATATTTTTGGGCCCCCGACCCCGTGGACGCACCCCTTCCTCTCCAGGACCGCCGCAGGTCCTCGCGGCAGATCCCTCGGGGCAGACCCTTTGCGCTACTGTCCAGCGGCACCGTGATCCGCTGCCTGCGCTCTCACGACGTCGATCTGCCGCCCGCCGCTCGCCCGCACGGCGCACGTCTGGTTGGTGCGCGCGGGGGCTGGTCGATCCTCAGTCGGCGCCCTGCTGCCGATGCGCCGTCCGGGCGGCTGGCTTCTCGGTCCGTCTGACCGGCGCGCTCTTCGGGCCAGGGCCTCCTCCGGCGGGGGCTGGTCGATCCCCCCCGTTGTTGACCCAGGACCTCGTGGCCATGTTCCCCAATCAGTGCCTGCACTGACGGGGTCCTAGCGGAAGTTGAGAGATGTGGCGAAAGTTTCCCGCCGATTTCGGTAGCAGGCTGGGTTCCCGGGTTCCCGGTTCGGGGTTCCCGGGTTCCTGGTTATTGGTTCCCGGCCGATTTCGGTGGGTTCTGGGTTCCCCGGCTCCCAGGTTCCCGGTCGATCTTCTCAGCGAAAACCATCCATTGATTGGGGTTTTTCTCTGGTGTACTTTTGACAGTAGCCAGCCCGAACACGCAAACGCAAACACATCACACACAAGCTTGCAAACGATCGCATACACCATGCGATTGTCCACCTGCGCGGTCATGTCTGTTTTCAATTAACATGCGACGCCAAATATTTCAACCCTCTTTCCGTTTCATCTATCTTCTTCTTTCTATCTTCCTCCGTGTTTCGGATGCGTAGACTTTCTTTCAATTTCGAACCCACTGTTGGCGTCTGGAGCTACTGCTTCCGGCTTGGTGCTTGGGCTGATCTATTGCAACATCGCCGACGGGACGGTGCGTCGCTCCAGGTTTGCCTGGTGTCAGTGTTTTCCCCGCCGCGTCACGCTCTAGAATGCCGCGCTCCTACGGGGAAAAACATCCCTGAGCAGTTCCCTCGCGTGCTTCCCCCTGCCCATAACAGCTGACACCTTTTCCTGCTCTTTTCTTTCTCTCTCTCTCTCTCTCTGTCTCTCTCTCTCTATCTCTTTCCCAGTGCTCCTACGGGAAACAAGTATCCCCGAGCAGTTCCCTCGCGTGCTCCCCCCTGCCCCTGACACGTTTTCCTGCTCTCTCTCTCTCTCTTTCGCCGTGCTCCCCCGTGCTCTTTTCCTCTTCTCCACTCTCCCCATGGGGATGGTCTGGGAGTCGCCACCCCCCTCATTTTTTTTGTTATTTATTTATTAGTATGATGCTTTTTATTATTACCATGATGATGATGATGATGATGATGATGATGATGATGATAACGACGACGACGACGACGATGATGATGATGATGATGATGATGATGATGATGATGATGACGATGATGATGATGATGATGATGATGGTGATGATGATGATGATGATGATGATTATTATTATTATTATTATTATTATTATTATTATGATTATTATGATTATTATTATTAGTATCACCATCATTATTATCATTCGCTTTAATCTTACTCTTATTATTATCATTATTCTTATTATTAGTCTTAGTATTATTATTATTTCTATTATTACTACAATTATTATTATTATTAGTCTTATTATTTTGTGT